GTGATTCATGTTTCAACTTGTCTACACAAGCTAACGGTTCAATTAACTGCCCCGTAAACTTAAATTTAAAGGAAAGCTGGCAGCTTAAAGCCAAAAAAGTAACAATCATTTTAAATTTGACAAATAGGTTTTCTGAGCAGAGTTTAAAGACTTGGAAAACTAGTTTCATGTTAGAATTGCATAAGATGATTTACTGAGAATAACCTAGAGTGATCTCTAACCTGAGAGATGGACAATAATCCCATAGAAATGAGACATTTAGGTAGATAGACGTATAGGAAAAAGTCAAACTTTTGCACAGTTTAAATGAAATATTTGAGCCCACATAAAAACATGCCAGATTTTTCCCAAAAGGTTGATTGAGTTCATGTGGCCGTAGCGTTTTCAGTGGGAGAAAGGTTTCGGTACTCGTTCAAGTGTGACTTAATCTGTCTCGGACTGTAGTCACTGGATACGTGAAAACGTTACGTCCACATGAACTGAATCAACCTTTTGGGATTTACGTAGCTGGATGATTGTGCATGCATCAAGACCTGCCAGATTTACATGCATGTGTAAACGTAGAGATGTAAAACTGTGTATATTTAGATGTGATTTTAAAGCAAACAAAGCCTCCGTCTAGTGATGGGGTTGTAAAGTCAACTAACAGGCCTTTTTAGCTAGCCATGTCCTCTATTAACCAGCTGCTTGTCAGCATTTGATGTATTCACCAACTCTGACCCCAATCAGGCTGCTTAACCTTGAAGAAAGGATTCAGCTGTGTCTTGTTCACTTGGTTCCTCGGATCCGTAACAAACTTGGACATTTCTTACCTCAGTAAAAGAAGCCACAGCCAGCTATACAAAGACACAGTGTTCGTGTACGAGGCACTGCAATGCTCTGAGTACTTCAGATTCTTCAGTATGTTACAGACTGCTGGTGCTGTTACAATCTATTACTTTTTGTTAAATAAAGCACACTTACATTTTTCTTCTTATGATAGATTTTATTTTGTTTTCAATTTCATTTTTACATATATATATATAAAAGCGTCATCAAGGCAATATCAGAGGAAATGGAAAACATAAGATCATCATGGTGGTGCATACTAATGCATGCTTGCCTGCTGTGGTGTGCGATTGTTTAATTATTTATAATTACTGATGTTGGTGCGTGAAAACTCAACATTGAGGGACCCTGGGAAATGGTTTGCTGATCTAGACTGTGCTTAAAATTTTAAAGGGGTTAAATTAGTTCAAGCTCTTTTTTTCCTTTAATCTGTGAATCTCAGAGAGGTGACGTTCATAGATATCTCTGTCACACACACATTATTTTTTAAAGAACAGACTGGGCTAAAAATCACAAGTGCTGTTTATTACAGGTGACCAACCTTTGCTTGGTTGTTGCAAGACTGGATCTACCTGCTGGCAGCTGTCAGTCATATCGGAGTATGAACTCATTTGACTATCAAAAAAGTAGCGTAGTTGAAATGCTCTGATTTTCACTGTTTGCATCACCTCTACATTCATAATTTTCGGCAAACATCAGAAACATTTGACTCTTTCACTTGATGTGACTGTCTATGGAAGCTTTTTCTGCCTGTGGGAATGTTTTGATTTTCATGGGACTGGGAAAAAAATAGATAAAAATTTGCCATCCGTAGGACAAATTTTCAAGCCCCTTACTCTAATTTTGAGATATTAAGTCAAAATTTAGAGATAATAACTTTATTCATGGATGCCAATTTAGATTTTTTTTCTGTTTCTTCAAAAGAACTTTCACTGACTTTCTTACACCAATCAAAAGTGTAATACAAGTAACAGGTGTACAGAGGTCCCTCGTTTATGTTCTAAAAATAACCTGCGATAGGTGAAATCTGCGAAGTAGCCAACTTTTACAATTATTATAGATGTTTTAAGGCTGTAAAACCCCTCACTACACACTACACACTACAGGCATGAACATTTTCACACTTTTCTCTCTTGTTTAAACACCCTCAAAGTTCAAATCTTAGTAGAAAAATATTTCCAGTATCATAGAATAAAACCCAAGATCAAACCTTGTTTTCAGGTCCAGAAGATGGGAATAGAGCAGCTGCCACAGAATTCAACATTAATGAATCAATGGTACGGGAGCAGAGGAAGCAAGAAGAATGAGTTGAGTAAAGTTTGACTTATCTGACTGTTTTGTTTCGCTTAATGCGCCTTATGGTCCGAAAAATACGGTAACTTCTACCTTCCTTTAGCATGTCCAGAAGTCCAATCTTTTCTGCGATGGTTAGCATCCTCCTCTGCCTTTTGGGTGCTACTGTAGGTGCCTTTGAAGGTGCAAAATATTTACAAACATAAAGTACAGCACTTCAGAGTTACACTGCTAGCGATTGAAGATTTATGTAAATTTGACAAGCTGGAGACATGGCATGTAGGAGATTGATTGACAATGGTCTGCAGCCAATCAGGACGTGCTGTAAACAAAAACAAAACAAAAAGCATGCAAAAAAAAAATACGCAAAACAGCGAGGCCGCGAAAAGTGAACCGCATCATAGCAACAGACCACTGTACACAGAAGCAGTGCTCAAAATGTTGGACAAATAAAACAATATTCTATTTCATTTATTTATGTTCAATATGTTAACATGCCAATTTGCATTTTACTTTTATTTTAGCAGTCTTTGAAACTGAGCTAACCCATCAGTTGTTCAACAGCAAAAGAACACATCACAGAAAAACAGCTCAGCTCTCCAACTAAACTAGTGTAGCAGGGGAGCCGTTCTTGCAATGAACATAAAAAAAGCATTTTTTTTTAAACTTCTCTATTTTTGTTATCTTAAGACTGTTGATAAGTGGGAGCATTTTGAGTAGCGTGACCCTGTTGACCTAAAGAGAATCTCCAAAATGTTTAAACTGCTATTAGATAGTCAGACTTCACTATTTTATGTGTATGCACGTTTGTGTCTGTTGTTCTGGCTGCTTGACAGATATTTTTCACAGTCTTGCATTTCTGGATTTCTCGCTGGGAGCGATCACATCCTGCAAGTCCAAAGGTCACACCTCTGCTGCCCCCAGTAGCAGCATTAAATCGGACAGACACGCTGGCGTTGAAGTGACGAGAATGTAAAATATTCTCATTGTTTTCTGCAAAAAGTGATCTTAAATGTCACACCTGTCATGTGCAAAATGCTATTCGGGTTCTGTAAATGACAATTTTATTATTGACATTTTTAAAACTGAGAGTTTAGGAAGATGCCATTGACATGTTTTGAAGACAGAACATGTCAGTGGCAGCAATCTGGTGCGCTAATGCTGAACCTGCATGGATAATGGCATACAAGAAGGGCAGTTGGGTGCTGTTAAAGCTCCGCCGGTTGAGGAGGCGACACAAATGCCAAAGGCTACTGCCGGAGCCTCAGTTTGCGTGCAGGTCAGACCATTTCCTGTGTGTCACATCCCCCTCTCACTCTCTCCCTGTTTCCTGCCTGTTCCCTGTACTAACCTCTCAAAATAAAGGCCAAAAAAAAGGGGAAAAAAACTAAAAAGTTCAGAATCCAGGGGTTTGAATCCACAAGAGCTCTAAAATATTACTGACAGCATTATTTATAATGCGATAAAGCTACACAAAATACTCAGAAAAAAATGGTTTTAACATTCTTTTAATTGCGTAAATCAACCTGTAATACATCCTCTGACCTGCAATGCCAAATTGAAAATCTTCTGACATCTAACGACAGGGCAATTAATGGGAACTCTTTAAATTTACTGTTTTTCAGATACAAAAAGTATTGATTATCGGCCCTGCTGGGTATCTCATCTCCCTCCACACACACTCCTTTTACAAGCAGCCTTTTATTTGACAAGCCTAATCTTTCTCAACACAAGAAGTGACAATAAGCAGGCACAGAGGCCTAATTAAAGGGACTTTCATTCAAATTAACACACACTCTCTCCCACACAAACCTCTGATGACCCATTAGCTGCACAATGGTTAGGACAATGCTTCTCTATCACACACACACACAAATACACACAGTGTTCTGCAGGGGGAGAGCGGTAAAGCTGGATTTAGATTTAGGAATGCAATATAAGTGCAGATGGGGGTGGGGCTAACCAGCTGCTTGTCAGTAGGGTGGGGTTGGGGGGGAGATACCTTCACAATCTCTAGATAAGACAAGTTGCATATAATGGGATCTCTCAGGGCACTTTCATCTATCCATATCTTCGACTGCGACCCCCATGAAGCTGCGCAGTTTACAAGCAGATTCATCACTTATCTCTTGAAGCTCTTATCCGAGGTTGTCGTCCCTCCTCTCCAACCCTTTTATCGGAATCTGACCCCGGGCTTTTAGCGTGGCAAGGGGTGTGAAAGTCAGCTTGACCTCTCGGGGTAACCTCCGACACAAAACACCGTGTGGAGCAACAAAGCGCTGAAAACAGAGGACCTCTGAGAAATGAGCAGTGACCATTAAATGGTAACCTCTATTTTCTAGCACAATAAAAGTGTTCTCGGGAGAACTGCTCGCATGTACGTGGGATCAAAGAGCACCATTCACGGCGCAGTGCGCTTTTGCGCTGGGAACTAAAGTTCACCTCGATGCTACCTCGCTTGGCTTCTTAAAAAATAAAGTTTACTGTGATATGAAAGCATGAATCTGAGGGTGCTCTTAAAGACAAAGGCGAAGCAGGAGATTGGCTTGCATGTGTTTGTTGTGGGGCTTCTGGGTAATCTGGTTTTGTCGGGATGGTTTTTGAGGCCTCGGGGTCATGCTCTCTGCATCTCTGAAGACAGACATCCTCCACATTCTTCCTGTGTGTGTGTTTGTGTGCGCACGCTGCCCTACACAGCCCACTCTCTTTGCTCTTTGACTCCAATGGCCATATAAGGCAGCCAGCACCATGGTAACCACAGGGCTTGAATAGCAGTGTCAAATCCCTGGGAGCGCACACACACACACACAGCCCCCTCCCCCTCTGCATACACTCCTGCTCCCCTCCCTCCTTCTCTCTCTCTCTCCGGCTTTGCTTGATCTCTCTTTCTCAAACACACACACAGACACACACACACAGACACACACACACATACAAATACGTTGGAGGAAAACAGACAACAGGAAAGAGGGTCGAGGAGAGAGAGAGACAGAAGGTGGGGGGGAAAAAGCAAATGCTGAGAATTCAGTCTGTGTGTCGAGCTCAGCCATTTCCTTGAATCATAATCTGATTTGTGGACTGTGAAGCCGGAGAGGGAGAGACAGAGGGGTGAGAGGAGCACCCATCTCTGCAACCCCCTCCTTCTGATCGCCTGAGCCATAGGGAAAAGCTTCTCACACACACACAGAGGCGAAAAGCAGCACACAGGGGCTAGGCCGCAAGTCATTAGTTCTTGGTGGACAAGCACTGACAAAAGGCTGGAGGGAGAAGGCTGCACAGGCGCCTGGAGAGCGACCGCAGGAACTATGGAGGGCTGAGCACACGGACACCCTCTTGTACGCTCTCTTGTTTTTCTGGGTTTTCTCTGTGGAAGCAGGAAGCACAGAGGCTTGTGTCACAACTGAAGCTACAACAAGCTACAACAAGCAAGGAAGAGAGATCACTTCCTTGTGCCGGGGATCTGCTGGTGTGTATTTTGGAAGTGAGTGCAGGCAGTCCACGTCGCCAGGTCTGCTGCCACCGCTGCTGCTTTTGCAGCTGCCCCCAACATCGCTCTGAGGACCGCCGTGACCACCTGAAAATGTTGCAGCTGCTGCGTGGACATTAACTTGGTTTGCTCAGTGTGGAATGTCTCCATCACGGGTCACAATGCTACTGCTGCTGCTGAGAGGATTACAGCAGGGAGAAAAGAGTTGCCTGCCTTCTCAGGAAGATCTCTAGAGCGACGAGAGGATTTCTTTTTCAGCGAGGGGAGCCACAGACACCACATTACTGTTTGCTCTAAGGTAAGCTTGACATTTTCTCTCAAAGGACTCTGCATACACAGAATAGCTGCTACTAGCAAGGGCAAATTCAGTGTTAGGGGTACTTTAAGAGGGGCGGTGAAATGCTCTCCAGGCATGTGCTGAGGCGAGCTATGCTGAGGTCCTTTTTCAGCCATTACTGTTGCTACAGAGACAGGGCTGTACGTGTGTGAGAGGACAAGAGCATGCAGAGCAGCGCGAGACGGGATTCTGCACCTCGTGCCGTTTGCTTGCAAATGATTTTGTGTTTTGCTCTAATTTTGGAGGGTGTGCGCTTAATGCGTGTTTCCTGTGTAAGGTTCCTCGGCTGAGACTATTTGCCTGGGCAGTGCTCGTTGCCCTTAACCATCTCAGGAACTGGTCTGAAGAAGAGGACGAAAACACCAGGCAGGGGCTACGAGCTGGATAAAGAGAGAGCGCAAGAGACACAAGACACTGAAATCTACATGCATGCAAAACTAAAAGTTGCCACACTGAGACTGTTTCCAGGTCATAGTGGAGTGGGAGGAGACTGATCACTCTTGTTTTTATTTCGTTCTCCTGCCAAACACACTTCTACTCAAAGGCTTAAAGCCCCCTCCTTTTTTTTAACCCCCTCATTGACATCTGCCATCAACCTCAAGGATTGTTTTTCTTTCTGTTCTTTTGTATAATAACCCAGAGACTTCATAAACAACTGAGAGAGGGAGAGGTGGGGGAAAACACACCACACACAGTCTGGACTTTTTTGATATTTATGTTACCTTGACAGCAACCAGAAATCTTGGCTGCCTGTCCCATTTTCCTCTGCGGTGGTTCGGTAACCAAGCGATGGCCATGGTGAGTGGGGGCTGGGGAGATCCCAATGGGGGCACTAACGGGCTGGGGGACAAGGGCTACCTGAGGGGGGAGGAGGAAGACGGTTCTCCCCAGGCGGGAGGCAGCGACATGGAAGCCGGAGAAGATGACAAGGCCTGCGTGGTGGACTGCGTGGTGTGCGGGGACAAATCCAGCGGGAAACACTACGGAGTGTTCACCTGCGAGGGCTGCAAGAGCTTCTTCAAGAGGAGCGTCAGGCGCAACCTCAGCTACACCTGCAGGTGAGGCATTGTGGGTAATTGTTATTTTTTGATTTATTGATGGGCTGAGCTCGCACAGCGTTGAGAAACCCGCTTAATACAGGATTCTGGAAGGTGAAAGAGGAAATGAGACTAGTTATCGTTAAAAATACGTCCATGTGGTTTTTTTTCTTTTTAAAAAAAATTGTAGCCTAAATGAAGTATTGAAAAAATAGTTATTATTGACAAATATAAACTTCCTAAATGTGAGGACTCGCTGCATTTCTTTGTCTTGTTGTACTGGATGTACTACTTTAAGTGCCACAAAACAAACTGCTTTCATGTGGGAAGAACATTTTCTCTATTATCTGTTTTTTTCTGACTAAATTATTCCCCAAAAATAACAGAAATGTTACTAATCAAATCAGCTATTATTTGTAGCTGATATTTATTATATCGTTAGCTTCATAGCATAAGTGCCTAAGTCATTTTTTTGTGTTTTTTTTGTGACGGACAGGATGATGCAGCAGTGGTAGGGGAGTAAAGTTAGGCAAAAATCTCAATTTGACCAAAAAAGGACTTAGGCACTTATGCTATGAAGCTAACGATATGTGTTCACTAGATCGCCATTACAATTTTGAAACTAGTGATTATTTTCATTTTTTTTAAATCAATCTAAAAAACTCTCCGTGCACTTCAGCTTGCATGCTTTGCCATGCCAGATATTCTCACTTCAGATTATTTCTGTTCACTTCTGATCAAAAAACTGTCTGAATCCATTAATTAATTACAATTATTTATTTATTTATTTGCTGTTCATTTGACTTATTTAGCCCGTGATAACATTTTTAGCCAATTTTACTTGAATAATAATGAAAGTGTCTGTTGTGCACAGCACACAGCTACATACAGTTAAGCTACATGACTGAACCATGTAGCCATCAGCTCTCTGGGCGCCATCATGTTGTGCGCAGCCTCGTGGAAAATCTAGTTTCATAATGCAATATTAATGTTGAGTAGCTCTGTTAAAAGGAAGTGCTGGCATCAGGCTGTTGACACTAATCTGCAAACAGCTTTTATGCTCATCAGATTTTTTGTTTGTTCTTTTTGAGAGGAAGATAATGGCTGCACATCAGAGCAGAGCAGCTTTTCCACTCGCTGTATGGGGTTTGTTCTTACATTTGTCATCAGGTTTGGCCGCTTTTGATCACATGTCACACAAACTGACGCCCGCAGTAAAGCTGACCGTTATTAACTGTATTACAGGACAGTGTGGTCGATGTATTTTAATACATGTAAATACAGTATGTAAGAGGTGTGATGTGAGGCAAATGTTTATTAACTTTACACATCTGTAATGCTGCTCTGCTGCATGTGCTGCAGAATTGTTTGCGATGACATGAGGCCAACTTCATTTTTCCAGACAATCAAATATTTAATGACTTATTATTCATTAATTGGCTTTTTTGGCGGGTTTATTCTCAGATCAAATAGAGAGTGTCAGATCGACCAGCACCACAGGAACCAGTGCCAGTACTGTCGCCTGAAGAAGTGCTTCCGTGTTGGTATGCGCAAAGAAGGTAACTATCCTGTTCCCCAAATTATTTTACCATCCATTCACTTTTTCTGGCAAGAATAAGAAACACTGTGGCAAATGCTGTGATTGTAATTGCACAATAGTGGAAATAGTTCAGCTGAATGAATAAAAGAGGCTACTTTCAGCTGCTCTTGTATTTAGAATGGGTCGCCACAGTGGGTAGCTCTGCTTATTTGATTTATATGTTGGATACCCTTCCCTACGTAAACCCCAAAGAACCGGGGATCTTCTGCTTGTTAGGCAAATGTGTAAACCACTACACTATAAAAAAGGGGGAATAAGTGACATTCAGCACTAAGCATCAGAGTCTTCTCGTTATTTCCGTCAGATACTTTTTTAAAAAAAAGAATAAAAACCCATTAAAGTATATTAGTAATTATCTGCTAGTGTGATCTTGCCTTTTCTGTGCTCTGTAGTGCAGAGAATGCCACACATGGTTCTCTAGGTCCTATCATGGCTTAGCAAGCCATGCGTGTCAGCTCAATGCCATGTACTAAGTGGCTTAATCTAGTGCCTGCGTAACAGTGAGTGAGAGGGATACAGGGCTAAGACACCTGCGTCCCAGAGGCTTAAACCTCTGGTTGAAGCTACAGAAATCCTCTGACTTGTTGGCTCAATCAAGAAGAATCCAATATGGGAACTTCACCCTAAGTGGAGGATCAGGCGAGGCCATCAGTAAATGTCACTCTGACAGATACACAACAACAAACAAATAAATAAATAGTTGTATACAAACACATTTGTTAGGCTTTTTAAAACTGACATCAACATTTAGGAGATTCTAAGCACAGACATCCTCCCTCAGTGTCCCTTCAGTTGGTTTATTCCTTGCAATCACAGATCACAAAGTACGCTAACTACACACATTATGAGTCCCTATAGAAAACGAGAGAGATTCCCTTTGCTCCACTACCTTGACTGAGAGGTCAGAGGTCAGAGTCAGCTAGTGAGCCGCATTCCTACTGTATGTGTGAATTGGGCATATTGATCAAGGACGCTTGAAAAGGGCAGATGCTCATACCGGGAATTAATATCCCCAAATGGAGAGATCTCTACTGGTTTCTGCCCTGCTTTGAGCTGAGCTTGATTGTGCATGCTTTCAATGCTGGAGAATAGCTTCCTAATTGAGTCAGGTCTGGTAATCAGAAATGCACTGCTGGCTGAATTCAGTTTTAACTTTTCTTCTCTTTGGTCTTCTCAACCAAATCCCCTCCATCACCTCCCCTTGTCTTTTGCAATTTTCTATTCTGCCCTTTTCTTCTCCAAACCCTTTCCTTTCCTTTCCTCTCCTCTCCTCCCCTTTGTCCCCCAACCAAAATACAGCAGTTCAACGCGGTCGCATCCCACCTCAGCCGAGCCTCAGCCCCTCCATCACACCCATAGGTGGCGCCAGTGGCCTTGGAGGCGGCGAGTTCTATAACAACAACAATGGAGGTAGTGGTGGTGGTCAGCCAGTGTCTGAACTTATTTCCCAGCTCCTGAGAGCCGAGCCTTACCCCAACAGTCGCTACGGACACCAGTACAACCAGCAGGCCGGTCCTGATAACGCTATGGGAATAGATAATATCTGTGAACTGGCTGCGCGGTTACTCTTCAGCACAGTGGAGTGGGCGAGGAACATCCCTTATTTCCCTGAGCTGCCTGTGTCCGACCAGGTTAGAGGATTATTTCTAATTAAAAGCCACATATACAGTTTTGACTTTGAAAGACTCTTCCCTCTTTATCAGATTATATTGCAGGAACTGTAAAAGATAAGCAGAATGAACTGAGTAGACATTAAAGTGTTGAGGGGGGGTGTCACTGATTGAGACACTACTAAATCCTCAGGTGGCCCTGCTGAGACTGAGCTGGAGCGAGTTGTTCATCCTCAGTGCGGCACAGTCTGCCCTGCCGCTCCACATGGCGCCCCTGTTGGCTGCAGCTGGTTTCCACTCCTCGCCCATGTCTGCGGAGCGCGTGGTGTCCTTCATGGATCAGGTGAGGGTGTTCCAGGACCAGGTGGACAAGCTGACCAGGCTACAGGTGGACTCTGCTGAGTACAGCTGTCTCAAGGCCATCGCGCTGTTCTCGCCAGGTGATTAGTGATTCGAGTGGCTAGTAAGAGCAGAAAACGTCTTGCTTGTTGACTTCACCTGCTGTCATTTAGCACTGCTAGATCAACAAAAGAATGGTTCAAATCCTCACAGTTAGATGGTGCCTGGCAAACATCCAACAGCTTTATCTTGTAAAAAAGACCCTTCTTCTTCTTTCATGGAGAAAAAACACAAAGAACTGCTGGAAGACTAACAAGCCACTTAGTCCGAGGCATTCATCGAACAATTTACCTCCTATGGCACCATCTCCTGGCTTGTCATTGAAAATGCAGTAATGTTTTAAGTGCTTTGTAATTAGCAGCACCATTGATCAGCATGAGCCCTGAGCTTTTCCTGACTTAAGTCTTACATAAGTGTCTGCCTTAAAGAAATAGTTTATAGCGACTGTCACCTCTAAAAGCGATCATTATTTAAAGTAAAACTTTTTTTAAGTGAGGCTTATAAATCATTTTTTGGCCTGAGAGCATCCATAGATGAAGCACTCTGGTTTCACGTGTTTCCCTCTGGGAGGTTTTATTACATTATTTGCTGGGATTTCATCCTTCCTCTAGGCTCATCACGACTCTTTATGTAACCTGCCCACACTATTAAGTAACTGCCTCCTCCCTCCTCCCTCTTAGATGCCTGTGGTCTAACAGACCCAGTACACGTGGAGTCTCTGCAGGAGAAGGCTCAGGTGGCTCTGACAGAGTACGAGAGGATGCAGTACCCGAGTCAGCCTCAGCGCTTCGGCCGCCTCCTCCTGCGCCTGCCCGCCCTGCGTGCCGTTCCTGCCAGCCTCATCTCCCAGCTCTTTTTCATGCGCCTGATAGGAAAGACACCCATTGAGACGCTGATCCGGGACATGCAGCTCTCCGGAAACTCAATCAGCTGGCCGTATGTCCCAGGACAGTAGCTCCCTGACAGACGAGGTCTCCGTCTGGTAATAGTGACGACAAGGACCCACAGGAAACCTCCTGACTCATCACTATCCATCTGTGTGGTTATCAAACTGCAGCGCCAGCTGGCCATCATATGCACTGTACTGTAACCGCTCAATTCCCCCTCATGAACGAGCCCTCAGACTCCACATGGGCCTCCAGAAGAAGAGAGTAGAAGAATAGCATAGCCAGTGCCAAGCTGGAGCTGTCTTGTTGCCAGTGCTGTCGTTCTGGTGCCAGGTCCCAGGCCGGAGACCAGCTCCTCACGCTGGGCTCCGATATGGCCACCACAGCCAGTCATGTCACCACCCACATGTCATAGTGACTAAAGACTCTGCAGTTTCATGTAGAGGGCAGCAGCACCCCACTAGAAATACATTTAGAGAACAAAACTGTCCTGCCAACAAACATCGGAGGAGCAGTGTTTCCCACACCAGGCTCATTTTCCATAGCTCGCCATTTGTGATACAATGACCTTTTTAACCAAATAACTGACAACAGGATGATGAAGTATCACTATTATGGATCGATCTGTGCGCCTCACTGTTGAAGGGAAACTCTTACCTCAACAACGAGGAAGACACTAAGGAGCTCCTGAAAAGGAGCAGAAAGGAGATAAAACCAAGGAAAATTCACCAAAGTCTATCATATCATCCTACGAGATGGTCCTCACACCCAGAAAACGAGATGAACCGACTTGTGACTGCCTGACCATCGAGTAAACAGCGCATTTAAATTCATCCACAGGGCTCACTGGTGGTGTAGTTGAAGAAGATTTAAAAAAAAAAGGCATAGTAAGATGAGAGCGGACTAATACCTCACTAGACATCAGAATGCTTTAGTCTGATATTTCCTAAACACAAACCTCTGTAAATTTTGTTCACCAGAAACCGCCTTCTTTTTGACAACTGCCTTGTTTTTCAGTACAAATTTGAGACACCTGTGTAACACGAGTCTTAGATCCCCCAAATTGATTTTCAGTCGTTTTGACTCGCTGAATACGGTGCGTTCAGCGTTATTTTGATCAAACATCATTGTTATTATATATACATATATATAAATATATATTTGTTTTCTTTTTTCACATATGCACTGAGAAACGGCAGGCTGACGTCTAAATCCTACTTGAGTTTAGTTGTTTGAAATGATTCTAAAACAATAAGAATTAGCTTGACAAAAACAGCTCTAAGAGTAAATAATCGACACTACCAGTTAAATTCCAGTTTACGCTTCTGGAGATCACGATCTCCCGAAAACTGTATTGAAATATGTACATATATATATTGAGCCCGGCTTTTGTCTTTTCTGCATGTTCAACTGTTATTTTGGATCTCTGCTAAGTTGATACTGTTTTATTTTATGTAATTAAAGTTTCATTTAAACATTAAAGTATTTGCCTTCAATGGTAGCTCCTAAATGTTTCTTCTTTTTTTTTCCTACCTGTATTTACATGAAAATACCTCTGTCATCTGTTGAGATGTCAAGAAAGAAGCTGAATGCCATTACAACTAATACGACGTAGAGCTGTTCATGCTCTCATCTCTTAGCATCTTGAGTGTGTCTCTGCTGTTTGTGAATGATGTTGTAATTGATGAGGATCTGGTGAAAAGACTGCGCTTGCAGGATATTCAATGCCAAAAGATTATACTGTCTGTCGGGTTAGAAGAAGATGGGATTCCCTGGTCCACATGAATTTACCTCACATGGGTATTTCAAGAGGCGGGTTTACAAAATCAGGACTATTTTAGGTATTTTTAAGGAAATGATGAAAAACGCACTCCAAACTCAGCACGATTCAGCAGTTAGCAATTTAAGAAACCAGAGAGGAAGGGTGCAACTCCTGCTTCTTGATTTGCCGCTGGGCCATTTTGGAAATTCTTTGCATATTCTTCCCTCAGTCTACAATTCACACAACCACGCCGTAGAGGCAGGGGAACAATATTGTTAATGTTTTCTTATCTTTGTGTTACTGAGTTCTTAAGATTTAAAATTTCATGTGTATGGCAACGCTATTAAAAGAATCAAACGATGACGATGTGTCTTTTGTTATGGTTTTTTTTTAACTTCTTGAATAATGTGTTGTAATTTCATCTGTATGAAGAATGCCAAATAAACACTGCAACATGTACTGCAAGTTTGCTGTTGAAAGTAGTTTTGTATGACAAAAACAGGAGTTTCACTTGCTTCTTTATTTACATTACGCTCGTCTTCCAGCGTATTCTTACATAGTTTGTCATATATTTAAATTAAATTACAACTGAAATTGAAATCTCATGCTTAAATATGACAGACATCGTGACAGACGTATGACAGCGCCGTGTTCCTATGCAGTTTAAAACCACACACAGAGTTGCTGTATGCTTACAGCTTCATGAACACTGATGTCAAAAACAGAAATGAGGTTCACTGGCTGTAGGACAAGTATTAGTGACACTAGCTGGGAAGTTCTGTGCAGCCAGTGAAGGAAAAGTCAGTAAATGCTGGATGAATTCTTGTCAGCACACCTTTCTGGACAGATGAATAATGTACACTAGCAGAAACCTTGGTCGTAGATTTTCACCAGACGTTTGATGTGGAAAAGTTTTTGCCGAAGTTCCTTACTCTGCTTCTTCTTTGCTTGATACTCAGGCGTCTAGAAAAAACAAAATTTAAACAAGTGTATATTTAACAAACTCAATATTGTCAATTGTAGTAGTGTTACAGTGCAGGAATGAGATAGCTAGTTTATTTTATAATCTGGACTGTAAAAAAGCTAACTGCATTTGTCTAATATATGAAAACATGTCATAGCTCCCCTTAAAGAGATTAAAAAGTATATAGATGGCCACATTCTGCTTTCAGGTCCTTCTCTGGGTTCCACCCTCCCCTACTGCTAGTTCCTGATGTTCCTGCTTTTCATGTCACTGGTGCTGGTATGAGTCCTGCAGCCACTGCATGCTCTCCAGGGACTATAGAAGTTGACTAAAGTTGCCTTTCCTTAGCTTAGCTAGTTTTTATTTTTACTTTTTTGTAGGTTTCTTATGTGCCTAGCTGGTTTTTGCTTGTTAAACCCGACTGATTTATTGTGACCACAGGGAGCTTGTAGGGGAGAGTTGCCATATTCTTCTCATATTCCCCCTTTTCTCTTGTTTATCTTTGGTTGCTAGGGAGTCGAGGAGTAGGTCTGCTTTTCTGTTGAGTAGCTTCATCAGTCAATGGGTTTTATTTCAGGTTAGGGCCATTTTGGTTGCTGTGTTGGTTTTGTCTCTTCCTAAAATGAACTTCTGCTTCCTTGTATTCACAACCTGACAATAAATCTTTTCAAACCGACCCAAACAGCCTCCTCATGTTTCCCCATCTAGTATTATGTAATTCCCCTTACATCTAGGCCTATTTGGGGATGTAACATGGTCCCCCCAAAGCCCCCAAATTGGGCTGTTAAATCAGAGAACGATGAAATGGCATGTGGGAAGATTTCAGACAAGCAAAGATGGTGAAAAAGTCTTGCCAATTTTGTTTTTATTGATTTCCCTGGTGACTCTAATCCTGCATTTTTTCTGTTTGCGTGACCACTGAAAAAAATTTTGAAAATACCCCTCAGCTCCCTTACTGCAAGACATCAGAAAATAGTCTAGTTTATGGGCTTAATCACCAGCTTCAAGCCCTACTGATTATAAAACAAAGGCCATTTTAAAGAAATGGTCCTCAGCAGAGTTAGAAAGAAGGAGCAACAATTTATGATAAACAAGTCATTAGCCGACTAGCATGCAGTGTCCCACTTTTTCACCAGCTGCGTTGATTTCAAAACGCTAAGATGACGTTGGAAGAAATGTTCGGTTTGACGCTTCACAACTGATCTTTAATTTAACCAATGAGTGATGACGCAGCAGGCATATCCATCTTTTATATTCAATCTATGATTTTAGGTTAGTGTATGTTTAATTTACTCAGTTTCTCTCTAAAGTGAAGAAACTGCAAACTTTACATTATGACATAACAGATCTTCTTATACTCACACTTTTAAGGCATTTCAGTCGGTTATACTCATCTGCCACACCCTAAAAAAAGAAAAAAGAAAGGTTTTGCTGACTTTATGCTGGGAAATGTCAAATACTTAAATACAAAAGCCACAACCATGACTGGCTGATATATTCTCCTGGCCCTCCACCTTCAGCTTTTCCACTCTGTGCACCTTATTCCTGTTTTTCTCTACCTGGTACTTCATGGAGTCTTCTTCCAGTGCGTCCAACTCTCGGCTCAGCTTGTGCATCTTGTCGCTGATGTCATCCAGCTCGCTGCAGAGGATCTTATAGCGCGACAGATCTGAGTCAAAATCCTTCTTGTATCTTCTGCGCTGCTCATCTGAAGTTATCTCTGGGTACAGCCTGGAACAGCGTTAATACCAAGACATGAAATCATTGTTACATTAAAACTGTTATTGGGGCAATGGCAGATACAAAGGGGAGCTTTTCATTAGTATCTCCACCAGTATTAAATTAGCTGAACTCCCTTAGAGGCAACTGTGATCCTGACCACTTCTTTCTGATATTGCTGTATTTTACTCTAAAACATTATAAATACTGTGTCATTTCTTTATTAAAGATGTGACTGATTAGATAATTGTTCCTCCTCAGGGTATGATCTTTACTTAATTGTGGGTATAACCAAAGGGGATTTTTAAAAACTGATACCAGTGCTAATTTTTCTTGCTTAGTCAACATCTGCAGTGATATTCAGCATTTTTTTTTATTTAATTCTATTCCTTCATAAAAAAAAAATTAAGAGACTGTTAAAATGAAGGAAATGCATCTAAACCAGCACGTAGACTCTTCATTTAGATGTAATGCATATTTTTAACATTATATGAGTAAAAGCACATTTTTCTTGTTAAATAAAGAGACGTGTAGTTTTTATGATTTCAGGTTCAAGACTATATTTTGTATTTATTATTTAAACTACTCTGAACACCACTGAAGCTTCTTTTGCTTTGAGTAAATACTTTCTCTCACACTGAACTCTCTGAGGTTGCAGCAACCTCAGGACATACCTGTAGAGGTAATCTGTGTCCAGCCCGTTGCCGGTGTCTCCCGTGGTGTAACCAGTTTCATACTGCGACTTGATCATCACCTGAGCAGCAGGCATTGGCTCTCTGTCCTTTTTCCGTTCCTTCTTCACGTAATAAGGTGGAGGCCTGATGCTGTCGCTCTCATCTGAAGAGCTGCTGGGACAAACTATGGCCCTGCAGTTTTGGTACAAAGGCTCAGCACCATGTGTCTTGCTCTTGTTTGCAGAGAAACTGTGGAAAATCAAGACTTAACTGAACATCAGGAACAGGGAAACATAACTTATGTGTTTGACACTGTGACGAAAATGTGTCTCTTTTTGCTTTTTGTACTTCATACTTGTTTGGATTTGAAGCCAAACGTGTGTGTGTGGTTTTGTAATGTGACCTATTATTTGAACACAGGCCACACTGGAGAATCTGTGCGTCACAGACTCATTTGCTGCAAACATCACCCACCTGTTGGTTTTGTAATTTCCCTCACTGTGGATGCTGACTGCTCCATTGCCGTAGGAGACCGCGCTGTTCTCCGCCCTCAGGTCTGGCGCTGCTCTCTCTGACACAACAACAGTCGGTGCCTGCTGGGTGCTGCGCACTTCTCCAACATGATTCACCTAAGACAACATCCGGACCGTCAAATCATAATCTCCTTATTTACTTTCAGGACCTCTGGTTTGAATAACCTGAAGTCTTTATCTTGGTGTTTTCTGAGATAACGCCATATTTAACACGATGATATAAATAATATAATCCTCCAGAGTTGTGAGATGTATTTTTTTAAGCCGGAAAGAAATCCTTCGACTGACTCTGTCGCCTAAGTGGAGAAGTGCAGAACTGGAGGGTTCTCCAAACTGCTCAGAAACACTTGGCTGAAAGTCGGCATGTCCCTGCCAGACGCGTTCACATGTAGCCAGACTGATACAAGGGCAGACACAAACGCTAGCCTTGGCCTCAGCATGACTGTGTGACAGCTCTCATATCCATTCAGCCATTAAAGAGAGAGAGAAGCACTCCTCCAGGTTTTCAGGATGAGCTCCCCCTCACCTAAAATAATCTCTTCATTTCTTTCAGCAGCTAACAGAGGCGATTCATTCGAAGGACACACGTGCACAATACAATTTCCCGGTTCCATCTGATGTGAGATGCATTCCACCAGAGCGTTAACAGTGTGAGAGCGTGTGAACATCAATATCATCAGCAGCGCCCTGAAAAGGCTGAGACTGCGGCGAAGAGTCGCATGTGTTTATCAGACAGATATTTTAACACCTACAGTGTAACAGATGCTGCAACCACTGTCAAAAGAAAACATCCTTATAGGGTACGGAGAATATCAGACACTGGAACTGCATTACGCCTCATTTGATCCACTGTCATATGCATCATTAATGAAGGCTTGTCTGACCTATTTCTGTAACAGGGTGCAGTCACACAGGATAAAGGTCTAGCGAGCTGATGTTTGAAAAATGCAGTCAGTGAAATAGATCTTATGAATGTCAGGGTTGCAAGTCAATCCCCTATGTGAGGGTGTGGGGGTGTGTGGGTGGGGAGCACCTAGAGGAAAGCTACAAGGAATTTGATCCACTGCGGCAGACAGGTGCACATTCAGCTGTTATTGTTAAATCCAGACATCAGGATTATTATTAGTAATGCTTCTGATTACTACCTAAATCTGCAGATATTTCTAATTAAATGATTGTGCTGTCTATAAAGGGCTGCCAACTATTAGAATTTAGAAATTTATCCAGGAAAGCTGTTTTTAATGATTGCTTTGACTCACTATTATGGTAATTTGTAAGCCATAGAATCTTCGACATTATGTAAACGCTCATCACAATAAAATCTCTCTGTAACCTTGAGATATTTTTCCTTTGGAGGAGGTCTCTGGGGTAACTCCTGATGCTGATTAAAAAAAGCCCCATTAATTACGTTTTTTTTTTAAATTCAACATAAGCAACGCACAGTTTTCAGATATCATAACGCATTTTCTTTTAATCTACTTTTCCTATATTCCCTCAATTATCTCCCTTTTCCAGTCATGTAGCACAAAACCGGGGGAAATTACGTCTTAGCCAGGAGTCTAATCTGCAGCAGTG